TTAAATTATAGTTAATTGTACCATGCTTGTTTTCCATTTTTGACTTGATATTTGGCATGGCCATAACTTAGTCCTTGTTATATATTAATATTGGATCATTTGAACAACCTTGGAAATCTAGAGATTTAATTAATTTAAATTAATTAAATTCCACATGATTAAATTTTGCTCCCTTTGTGAAATTATTGTGATATTTGCAATCACCATGGAATGGACATTCACATATATTAAATTGAGAATTTTTGGACAACTTTGATTTCTAGAGAAATTGATTAATTAGGTTAATTAATTTTTACTTAGTGTTCTAATGATTTGGACATCTATTTCATGGGGCTTTTGCCTATTTATCATATATCATGACTTGTTGCAACTTGGCTCCATTAATGTAGTTAATGAACTTACACCCTTATCTTGGAATGGTTTGATTACTCATGTGTTGCTTAGTAAGTAGTTGAATCATAAATCATATACTTGTGGTATATCTATTTCAATGAATTTCATGTGCTATATATCTTGTTTCAAGTCTATATAGATGCACACTATGAGTTCTTGACATTTTCACATGCTATGTTAGTTGATGAACTTAGGGCATGACTTGTGTGTTCCAAAATCTTGGTTGTGCATGAAACGTGGTTAATGCATTTCTTGTATTTGATAGAATCTTGGTTGCACAACTTGTTAATTTTGGGACTTTGGATATCAATTAAGAAAGGGGAAAGGTTCCCTTGGGTTAATACCCTAAAGTGATCCCAAGAACAGGGGAAGGTACCCTTTGGTTGATAGCCCTAAAGTGATCCCAAGAGCGGGGGAAGGTACCCTTGGGTTGATAGCCCTAAAGTGATCCCAAGACTAGGGGAAGGTACCCTTGGGTTGGTAGCCCTAAAGTGATCCCAAGAGTACGGTTTTAATCCGGGCGATATCCAAGTTTCCACATTGTTTGATTTCACTCTTTAAATTTCAAGTTACTATTCCTTGAAGATTTAAACTTGTCGTGTATGTCAAATGCTCCAATCTTGTTTACTTGCATAGATATTATGCCTTGTTCTTGAATCCGTGTTTAACTTGCATAGAGATTATACCTTGTTCTTGAATCCGTGTTTAACTTGCATAGACATTATGCCTTGTTCTTAAATCCGTGTTTAACTTGCATAGACATTATGCCTTGTTCTTGAATCCGTGTTTAATTTGCATAGACATTATGCCTTATTCTTGAATCCTTGTATGACTCTTATCATGTTAATCAGAATGTACTTATCTTGTTAATTGCATAGATATTGTGCTATGTTCTTGATTTCGCGTATTATCCTTATCGTGTTAATTGGTATGTTCCAATCTTGTAAATTGCATTGCTTTATGTGGTCCATGTATTCTAATATCTTCTTGTCGTGTTGTATGGATTATCCCAAATCTTGCTTAATTGTATTAAAAATGCAATTCATGTTAATCTATGTTCAAGCATTCTTCTTATCGTGTTCTTTGGATTATCCCAATCTTGATTTATTTCATATACGTATGTATACCATGATTCTTGTTGATTTATGTTCTAGGGTAGCGTAGGATGCTCCCTGAGTCTCACTTTAACATAGACATTAGGTGACATGAGCCCTTTAACATGTTTCACCTTAAGGTGATAAATTGTAAAACGCTAGGTCGATGCATGCTCATTTCCTACGAGTAGCTTTATGTTTCTCACCCCAAAGTTACTGGGGCATATTTTAGGTACGAAGACTTGGTTCATGATGCTTATCATTCCTTGGGTGACTCGTTGCCTTCAAGTTCCCATTTCATGTAAATGTTAGCATGAAACAATATTTTATAGACTTATATGTCAAACTTGTATTATTTGACTCCATAGATGTAATGTGTACATAAGTACACCCTTTGTATTGTATTTAACATGTATGAGATGAGGCCGGAGACTAATAACATGTAATTTATATCCCATGTAATTTTCGACTCCATAAAATATTATGAATATATTGAGAAATGTTAAGTTATTGTTTTGCCATGGTTGCATCGGGTGTGGGAATTCCGTTTTCATTCTTCCACTAGGTCTCATTAATCTTGTATAAAGTGTGGCCAGGGGCCAAATAGTCATTTGGCTCTGTTTTGTAATTTTGGTTTTCAAAATTTCCGTTTCAAGTTCATTTTCGTCTTTTTAGCCGTAGGGGGGTGGGATTTTGACTCGGCCATTCTGGGAGCCGCGGACCATTCCCACATGCTCAAAATATCTATTTACGTTTGCGTGCATGATCATTTTCATGAAAAACCATTTCGTTTGTGTTTTGAGCCTCTTATGGACTCATTTCACATTTTTGTTGCATAATTTTGCTTAAGGGCATTTTGGTAATTTTCTTTGGGAAATAAATTCCATTCTTGACTTTGTCACATAGAAAATGTGATTTTAGGGTGAGTTTCTTCACAACATTTTTCCAAAAAATGTCATCTTGATCTCGAAAACCATGTCGCAAACTCATTTTTCTGTATTTTTACTGTTTTTGCTGTTTTTCTGCAACCTGGGTGGGTTGAACCGGTTCAGGGTGGGTTGAACCGGTTCAAGAGGTGTCTTTTTTTCCAGCATGGGTGTTTGTCCATGTTGAACCAGTTGAAGAAATGTTGAACCGGTTCAAGTCTTCTAGAGATTTCAGCTTTGGCCTTCCAACTTCAAACTGATGTAACTTCTTCGTTTTAACTCCAAATTGGTCCAGTCTTGAGTATAAACTGACCACATCAAAGTAAGCTTTCCAATGGTACTAATTTTATCTTTAGATTCTTTTCCTAGCTCAAGATATCCTTGTTTTAGTGAGAGGGTGTCGGATTTGGTTCGAACCGGGATAGGGTTCATCTGGGATTTCAGTTCCTTTGGCCTTGGGACTTCATGTGAAGTTACAAAAGGATGTTTTTGGATGTTTTTGACCTCATTTGACTTTTTGGAAGTCAAATTCCTTCCTCCTTGGGTAAAATGACCATTTTACCCTTAGTCCTTCCTTCGATAGGGTTTTCATACCCTTGTCCTTGTTTTGCTTCCGCACTTTGTTCCTTCGGGTTCCGTGACCTCATGGAAGGTTATCAAAGGGTCTTAGAGATGTGTTATGCCTTGGGAGATCATTGTCTTGTTTCTTGCTTCCGCATCTAGATCCGTTAACGGGTCAATCTTCGGTTCATCACTATAGTACCGGGTTGAATCAAAACCCGGGTCGTTACACCTTTTGTGTGTATGGGTTTCCTTTTTATGTTTTTAGTAGATGGGTTCGATTCAACTTGTACAATCCATTCGACTTGCATAAATTTATAGAGTCGTGCCAGACAAAGTTTATCTAATTCGTATGATGATCCGAGTTAATTTGCCAAGTGTCAGGTCCACCTTTCTTTGAGCCATTTTTTTCAACATATATATACTGATTTACAATATTGTTTGGCCAGAGATGCAAGAGGAGGGGCAGGTCTCTTATTTGATGTGAGCTTTGCTCTCACTCTGTTCCAAACCTATTACGGTAGAGTCAATCTTTAGCTTGAAGTTCAGTTATGCAATAAGAGAGAGAGAGCTACCTTGTGTGTATGGGTTTCTGCTATTCCACTGTGTTTGGGTTTCCTTGTGTGTATGGGTCTCAACTCTCAAGCTTGCCCCCTCTCTCTCTCTCTGCAACTGCTAACTTGTGTGTATGGGTTTTGTTTTAATTTTTTTTTTTCTAAATCAACTAATCAAGCTCTGTAAGTCTTGTTTTGCAAACTAATGAAGCTCTGTAATTAATTTAATTTAATCATCCAAAACAAATAATATTAATTTCTATTCCAAAATTCTCACTCCAAATTTTCGTCACAAACATGTTTTGTTCCCATTTCAAAACACCACACTACAAAACACCTGTTCTGTTCTAGGTTAGAGCATTACACTACACTACACAACACTTCCCAAACGAGCCCTAAGTGAGGATGCACTGTTGGACTTCTAATCGAAGCGATAGCCCTGAGTCTCAATCAAACCTGTGGTAGACAACCAGAATGTCTTGAAGACACTCGATCACCCCTAACTTTAGATAAAGCTGATGATCTAAACGAAGTAGTGTGCGGCTAATCGGTTTGATTGGACTAGGACTTTAGAGAGTATGTGGCATGACAAACTGAAGGTGCTCCAAATGTGGCTGAGATTATTTTGAGTTTAAACAGGTCTAAAACCCTTATTTATAGAGTATTACCCCTAGAGGAGTCCTACTTGCTATACATATTATTTTCTTTATGATTCTTTTTTCCTTATCTTGCAGAGTCCTTTTTCTAGTTGGACATGGATTGCATTTGGGCCCAATGGTCCTCATGTTTTGCTTCTAACTTTCTCTCCATAATGGGCTTTCATCCTTTGGTCTTACTCAGTTTTGCTCAATCTGGCTAGCCTCTACACTTGGAACTGGCCCATTATTGATGTCGGCGCAATCCTTATATCATTTACTGTCATACTCCGATTAGTGCCCTAATACATACATAACATGACTGACTAAATGTATCCCAAATGTATCTGAGATTATTTTGAGTGCAAACAGGTCTTAAGCCCTTATTTATAGAGTATTAAGCCTAGAGGAGTCCATGTAGGACTCCTTTCTTGCTATGCATGTTATTTTGTTTATGATTCTCTTTTCCTTATCTTGTAGAGTCCTTCTTCTAGTTAGACGTGGATTGCGTTTGGGCCCTATAGGCCTCATGGGCTTTCATTCTTTAGTCTTACTCGGCTTTGCTCAATCTGACCAACCTCTACACTCGGAACTGTCCCATTATTGATCTCGGCCTATTCCTTACGTCAGTAGTTGTCGTACTTCGGTTGGCACCCTTATGCACATGTGTTGTGTTCTAATTGGAGGGGATTTTCCCCTCCATAGTGTATTATAGCTCAAAATCAAAGAGTTATAATACTCTTTAATTTGAAGAAGAATAAATTAATTATTTTTAGATATGTTCACTTTAATGAGAAGGCCGGCCTCTTGGGATTGGAAAGAGAAGAAAGTTAAGGATCAAGTCATCATCTTCAATGAAGAATCAGAAAATGAAGACAAAGATGTACATGAAGCTCCATAAGAATTGTCTTCAATTTCTCCATCAAGCTTAAATTCTTCATCTCCAAGTTCAACTCTAAGAAGAATGAGAAGCCTTAGTGATGTGTATGCAAGTTGAAAATTTTGAGTTGTTGAACCGGAGAGCTTTAAAGATGTGATTAGAGAAGATGCATGGAAGAAATCTATGAAAGAAGAAATCAATGTAATTGAGAAAAACAAAACCTGGGAATTGGTATACAAAGAAGCAATTGGTGTGAAGTGAATTTTCAAAACTTATTTAGGAAATTTTTTTGAAAGATGTTGGTGAGAAGCATGGAGAAGCTACTCCAATTTTGTGTGACAACAAATCCACTATTGCTATAACAATGAATCAGTCTTTCAAAGCCACATAAGGAATATTTCCATCAAGCATCACTTTATTAAAGCAGAGGCCGTGGATGAGAAGATTAAACTCAAATATTGCAAGACCAAAGACCAAGTTGCAGATATCTTTTCCAAGTGATGAGTTTGAATACTTTAGAGAATTGTTGGGTATCAGAAAATGGCATTAAGGGAGAGTGTTAAAATTAAATTGTTTTGCCATGTTTGTTATGTCTTTTGGGTTTTCTCTTGTGTCTATTAGTGTGCATGTATCAAGTGTGTGGTTAAAAGATGGGTTTTTGAGAGAGCAAAATAAATCAGTCAAATGGTGTAGAACAAAATTTTGTATACATGCAAAACAAAACAAAAAATTCAAATAGGTTCATTGCTCCGGCCCAGAATACGAATAATCGGGCATGGACTACATGAGCCCCTAATAATTTACTGGATGTATTGATAAGTTGGGCATTTCCGGCCCACCAAGTGAAACCGGTGGTTTCTTGGTCACCTCCGGATAAAGCTTAAGTTCCAACTCCATGATTGATTGAAACTACAGCCAACAATATTTTAGTTTTACAATTCCAAAAAATATTTTAGTTTTCTTTTCTTTTATTATTTTTTGTAATTAAAATAAGGATAATACTTAGCTACTCACCGGTGAGTAGCTTCACCCTACTCTCCCCTCATGTGTTTCAATAACAATATACCATATCAACTTTAATAACCAAATAATCCACGTTCTCTGTATTTTCTCAGATCAACCATTGAATAACTTTTTTATTAAAGCTGATGTGGTATGTTGTTATTGGAACACATGAGGGGTGAGTAGGGTGAAGCTACTCACCGGTGAGTAGCTAAGCATTATCCTTAAAATAATATGCTATCACCGAACAAACTAATTATGGACGATAAAGTGTTGCTTAGTTTAAATGGTTAATTAATTGACATAATTAAAAAGGTGAGTAATTATATGATTTCTTATCATACCTTCTCTGGTTATAATACTAGCAAGATCATTCCGACTTATGTCCAGCTCCTTCAAGTTGTTCAAATCATTAAAGTCTAAAATGGGAATGAAAAGTTGAAAAATTAAAGTGCAGTAATCACAATAAACTGATCACTAAGGAAACATGAAATGTGTTTTCTCTTGCAATTAAGAATGGAAATAAATTGTACATTAAAATTCACCTTGAATATAAAGTTGCCCAATCAAGTTGTTTTGTTGTAGTTTTAAAGTATTGAGGGATGAAAGTCCACTTAGAGAGGACAGAATGCTGTTATTGTGGGAATTACTACTCAGATCAAGAATCTGTAGATTACTCAACCCTGATAGTTTTTCAAAACCTGCAAGAGAATGAAATGCATGTAATTTCAGTAATAACATAACCTTTTCTTTTGTTTTTCGGTGACAGTTACTCGGTGTAGGTCCCAACTTCCACCATTTCTCTTAAAACCAATTGGTGTTACGGAGGGTTTCAGCCTTATACATCAGCTGCAGAGCCGCCAAGGAACCACCATTAGTGACTCGAATACAGGACCCGTGCTAAGCTTCAAGCATTTTTCCTAAAACAATTCAAATTTGTGTTAGGGAGGGGCTACAGCCTTGTACTTAAACCTTGGGTTTGTGACGGTCAATCTACTATCAGCTACACCAGCCGCAAAGCTTATTAAGGGTGGACTTTGACTTTGATCTATGGCGACAAAACTTCCCGGATGGCCACGGCCAGATTAGAAATGAGTACGTCGGTGAGTCATGAGTGGCGCAGCGGGATGATCAACCTATAATTAACCCTGAATCCTATGGCTGAAGGAACATATCAAGTCAACATAAACCCCTTGCCACACTAGCTATTCAACAAATATACATACTGATTCGAAGGTGACCATATGAAGCAGCTTTTGCATTGATACTTCAATTTACAACTACTTTTCATTGACGATGTACCCTTAATGCAATATATTGATAAATGTAAAATAATGTGTGATGTCATATCAAATACCCAACAAATTAATTATGGAGGATAACGTATTGCTTAGTTCAATTGACATAAAACGGTGAGCAATATTCCTCAATTTCTTTTAGTTCTTCATACCTTCTCTGCTTACAATACTCTCAAGCCTGTTCCAACTTATATTCAGCTCCTTCAAGTTGTTCAAACTATCAAAATCTAAACAAGGAATGAAAAGTTAGAGAATTAAAGTGCAGTAATCACAATAAACTAATCACTAAAGTAAACATGAAATGTGTTTTCTCTTGCAAATAAGATTGGAAATAAATTTAACATTAAAATTCACCTTCAATATAAACTTGCCCAGTCAAATTATTATCATATAGTCTTAGAGTCTTGAGGGATGAAAGCCCATTTAGAGATGACAAGATTCTGTTATTGAAGTAATTCTCACTCAGGTCAAGGATATGTAGATTGCTCAACCTTGACAGTTTTTCAAAACCTGCAAGAAAATAAAAGGTAATTTGGCTTGCATCTCAGCAATAAGACTAGTTCGCTCTCAAAAATGAATTAAAGAAGAAAAATAAAAAATAAAAATTGGAAAAAGAAATTGAAAATAAAATGAAAAAAATAATGAAACATTCCTTATAAGCAATCCTTCAGATGAATATATCATTCTTTTCAATATATATATATATATATATAGAAAGAGGGAAGATAGCCAGACCTTCATTCTCAATACATCCCAGTAAAACATTATTTGTTAAGTCTAGGTTAACGAGTGATTCAAAGGGAAGAAACATTGAGGTGTTTAAATACCAATCTCCTAACTCATATTCCCTTGTAGAATTAAGTGAAAGTTTGATGATGCGACGCGTGGTGGCATTGCACTCAACGCCCTCCCATTCACAGCAATCAGTTGGTTCTTCACCGTCCCAGTCCTCCCATGACGGCAAGGAAGAGCCATTTGGGTGGTTGATAGAATCTTTGAGCTGCAAAAGAGCAATCCTCTCTTGCTCCCGACACCCATGACACACATTCACCAAAACTAACAGCAACATAATTGATAACCTCATCAGTTCTCGCTCTAAGTATTCCATTATGTATCAGTACACGACCTACGTACAGCTGCTACACCTTGGCCTCTTATAGGGACAAACGCCGAAAAAACTCATATTCTTTTCACATTGTGCGGAAACACTCATCAATCAGAAATTTAACATAAATTAGTATTATAATATCGGTTTTACTCTTTTAAAAATGGCCAAAGGTGTATATGCTACTAGTATCATAGTGTAGGAGTGTTTCATGCTCATCAATTATTTTTTTTACTTTTCATTTTTTTCTATATATGTATATATATATCTCTAATATTTGGATAAAGAAAAAAACTGAAAATCTAAAAACTTTAAATATAAAGAAACTAACAGATTGCAGAAGGCAATAGAAAAATACATAAAATATAAAAATATATAAACACATATAAATAGTGACTGACTGCATACTTTTCTCTAGTGTCAAGAGAGGAGAAGAAGAATTCAAAAACCTTATGGAGGCCCATGTACCCATACATACATAGTAAGTACGTGTGTGACTGTGTGTGTGTGTGTGGGGGGGGGGGGGGGGGGGGGGGGGGGGGGTGTAGACACACACATGGTATTAATAGCTAGAAATGAGAATAGTGGCCATTAAATCACGGATGCAGTAGCATACATGGGTGTTATATGTATGATCCAAACAGGGACGATGAGGAAGAGAGGATTTGGGTGTGATTAGGGGCGGAGCTAAGATTTTATTTCGGGGGCACAATGTACTTATTGAAGAAAAAAAATATATATAAAAAATAATAATATTCTATGACAAATATAAATTTTTTAAATCAAAAAACAACCAAGAAAAAAAAATAGTTGTAAAAAAGTACGATAAAAAATATGTACTTACACAAATATAAGAATCAAAATATTGATTAATAATATTTTATTTAAATACAATTACAAATATCATCGATAAAAAGAAAGAAAGGAAAAAAATGGTACAGTGAAAAAATAAAAAATTTGGAAAAGGAAATAAAAATTAGAAGAAAAGTTTTGAAAAAGGAAAAAAAAAATTCAAAAAAATAAAAAGCATATGGTGTACTTGAAGAAAGGAATATATGTAACTTCTTTTTTCAAAAGAAAATGAGAGGAATTTGAAAATTTTAGGAAAGCACTATTAAAAATTATAATATAAGTACATGTATATAGCAAAAATATATACCATATTATATTGGAGCAAGGGCAAAAGAGAAGAAGGATGGAAGGTGGCCGTGGTAGCACTGGTGAGTGGACTTAGAAACAGAGAGCTGAGGGAAGAGAGGATGGATGTTGACACGCCTTTTGGCTTTTTGTCATTTCACAAAATTATTTTTAAAAAATAATTTGAAAATGTCTCACTAAAGCTAGTTTGGACATATATCACATTAGTCAGACTTATTTGCGCCAAATCAATACTTTAAAGATATTTTGTGTACTGATATTCACGGTAAGCATAATAGAGAAATATTTTTTGCATTTTACCCACCAATTATATAATAATATGCCACCCAAATACTTGATGCACCACCCAAATACTTGATGCACCGCATATGTAATAAAAAATTTAACACTTGACCCACCAATTATATAATATGCCACCCAAATACTTGATGCACCACCCAAATACTTGATGCACCGCATATGTAATAGAAAATATAGAGAAATATTTTTTGCATTTTACCCACCAATTATATAATATGCCACCCAAATACTTGATGCACCACCCAAATACTTGATGCACCGCATATGTAATAAAAAATTTAACACTTGACCCACCAATTATATAATATGCCACCCAAATACTTGATGCACCACCCAAATACTTGATGCACCGCATATGTAATAGAAAATTTAAAATTTTTTAATCTTTGATTTAATCTTTTCTAGAGATACCAAAGAATAATAAAACCTCAAAGCTCTTCTTTTTGGGGGATAATGCCAAAATATCAAAATAGAAAGTTTAAAATTTTTTAATCTCCCATTTTATCTTTTTGAAAGCTCAAATTCTGAAAGCTCTTCTAATTTTTGGGGGATGATGCCAAAATATCAGAAGTTGGTTCAGTTGTCGTTCTCTTGATCCTTACAGGTCTCGTGAATCTTCCCTTTCCCTATTTTTCCTATGTTTTTTTTTCCAAAGTGGACTTTGTTTCGTAACGTGGTCACGACTTATAGACAGTTTTGCCGCTGACGGGTTGAATATTAATTTTACTAGAGAATTAAGGAGATACCATTCCCTTTTGGGTTAAATTTAGATAAGGCTTTCAATTGATAGAAAAAGAGAAAAAAGAAAAAAGATATATATATATAGTCATTCTAAAACTTTTGGATGAAATTTGGAATAGATTTCGCTAAGAATTTTTTGCAAAACCAATTGAAGTTTAAATAAGTCAAGTTTGGGCTTGGATTTGGGCTTGGGTTTGGATTTGGGCTTGGGCTTGGGCCTAATTGTAAAGTTCGGATTATTCCTTTTATTAAATGGAATTTTAGATTGGGCCTATTTTTGGGTTGGGCTTATTTAAATGGGTTTCACAAATGGGTGGGTTTTTTGGGTGGTTGGTTTTTTGAATTAAAAAAACTACTTTTTAGTTTTTCTAAAGGGTTACACCTTTTAAATTAAAAAAACCACTTTTTAGTTTTTTAAAAGGGTTACACCTTTTTCCGAACCATCATAACCCATGGTTGCACCCACCCGAAAAGGCACCTTACTACCTATAAATACCCCCCTTTGGATCATTTGCAAATCACACCAAATTCAGAGAATTCTTCTCTTCTTCTGAATTTTCTTCTTCTTCATTCTCTCTTTAGTATGTGGGTTCAAGCCTTAGTATTTAGGTTCGAGCCTTAGTCAGTCACTCCGAGTCCGAGTTCGAGTCAAAGAATACTACACCGAGCCGGTTCGCCTATTCCTTTGGTTTGCAGTGCTACTACCGAAGGAAGACAAGTCGTTGTATCCTGGGAGATAGACGCCACCGAATCCGTAAGTACCATAGCGGGGCGAATCTGTCTTAAGGACATAGAATCAAATTCTAGTCTCGACTTTTAATCAGATTCTTTTATTTATAATTTTTTATTTTATTTTATTAAACTATACATTATAAGTAATTATATATATAGATTATTATTTTATAATATTTATATATATAAGCATTATATTATTTTATATTTACAGATAATATTTAAATAAATAATACTATAGTATATGGTATACTTAGACCATATTTTGGATAACATGAGTATGCCCTCTGAAGTCTCAATGTCTCATACATTACCGTCACTTTTTTTTTTTTTTTTGGGTTCTTTTTCTTTCTGTTTTTTTTCTTTCATATATATATAAATAAAATAAATAAATAAAACCACAAAACCTTAAAGAAAAATCGAAAAGAGAACTTGTTGGCTGAAGTACGGAAATTAATCAGCTCTTTACAGAATTGCTTTAATCATGGAATGCATCCTTGGTGACAATAGCCTCAAATGATCACCATCCATCATACAAAGTTAGCCGCAACTAATGCTAAGTTTTACTTTGTTCATATATTGAAAATTATTTATGATGCTTTCACCCTTTTGTCTTGTGCAGGATCGAGTCAATTAGATTTCTAAATACCTTTTATTTGAAAGTAAATTTTCTAGCATCTCGACGAGTTGAAGATTGATTCATATTAGTAGTAACACATATAGTAATTTGTCGAATGCATATTTTGTGTCTAGATTATTGTTGGGTTTTGTGACTTTAATTTGGTGGGCGAGTACTTAAAACTGAACAGGTTACTTGAACCAGTTAATTTTTTCTTGAACCAATTGAACATGATTGTAACCCTAATTGAAGGAGTTCAAAAACAATTAGAATGTGTAAGTTGCAAAACTTTTATTTTTGAGTTGAGTAAACTAGATAAAATATTGTGTTATACATTATATGATTGTTATCTCTATATATGGTTATTGATTGATATTATGACAATGAGTGATTTAATTCTAAGAATTATATCATAAATTTGACTTCAGATGAACTTTAAGTAAATGTGAAGGTACTATTCATTTTTTTTTTTTTTTTTAATATACATTAGTTACCATTTTTAATTATGTTTTTCAATTGAGACCTATCAAATGGTGGTGAGCTCACTCATATAGGCAAATCGGATTTGTGAGTTTTTTTGTCAAAATTTTTTAAAATAAAAAATATGGCTCACTCCCTCCCTATCTTTACCATAACAGTGAACATTGTCGAAAACCATTTTGGCAAAAAACGTGTTGATGATGTGATAGCTACCATGTGGGTGAAGATTGAAGGTAAATTGGTATTTTGGTTTGGTGGGAATGCATACTCAAGATAATATATATATTTTTTCTTCTTAGAGCACGTGTATCGGTCCCATAATATACGCGTCAGGAGTACAGTTGGAAAGTAAAACTTTAAGAATTTATCTTTTGGATCCTTGCCAACGCTGCTATGCCCCCATGACCATACTCGTAATAATATTGGTAGAGGATAATTGTTAGAAGATATAAAACTCTTATCTAAATGATAAGGTTTTATTAGAATTATTATCTAGTAAGAACTTTTATATAATTATCATTATTTTGTGGGAGATAAATGAAGGAATATAATTTTTACTATGAGGAGGATTTGAAGAAGAACAAGACTTGTCTACTCACTAGGTAGGTCATACCTACTCACCCTGATGTAGTCCAATCACAAATGCACAAATAGTTTGCAATTACAAAATCAGGAAAGCGATGAGGACAATAACATTTTTTTTGAAATAAGAGTAGGTCATCCCTACTCAAGACTGATGTGGTCCAATCACAAATGCACAAATAGTTCGTAATTACAAAATTGAAAAAGTGATAAATAAGGATAATAATTTTTTTTTTTATAATAAATTCAGTCACCCTCTTTAATATCCTTATTTATCATTTTTTAGATTTTGTAATTGTAGACTATTGAGTACATTTGTAATTGATTAGAAGAAATGATCTACTCACCAGTGAATAGGCAAGTCTTATTTATTGCATTAGTGATGAGTAGC